ATAGTTTTTTTAATTTATTTTATATTATTTATTTTTTTTACCCCTGATACATGGGAAAGAAATATTGCTTAGTTTATACAACACAAAGAAAGCTCTTTGTGGTCCACAACTTTGCAGATGGTAAATACAACTTACAAGAATATATTTCAACAAAAAAAACAAAAAAGAAAAAGGATAAAAAAATCAGGCTAACATATTTCAATCAATTCCTTTGGTTCACAAACATTAACTTCAAGTTTCCTTTCCTTGGAAAAGCTGATATGTTCATTCAATTTGGTGGAATCATATCACCAACAACACATTCAACTAATACTTGCATTGACAACCAAATATTATCTCAACAAGTTTTGCATTTTCAGGCACTCTCTTTGGCCTCCACATGGCATTGTTTTGTTTAAAGTATACACTCAACTCTAGTGAATCTAAGGTTGCTCCTATAAACGAATATTAACATAACATGTTTTGGATTTTTTTCTACCAAAGCAGGGATGAAGAAAAGGAAAAAGAGAAAACATTTCATTATACAGTTGCAATGCAAAAAGAGAAAAGGTTTATTTTCCCAACTTGAAAATCAATGTGTGATGCTATTATCAAACAAAGAAAACATGAAATCAAAATCACAAGCTAATCAACTGAGGAAATTCAAAACAAAGGCCTAATTTTTTTTAAGAACATCGAAGCAAACATTTTAATTTTGTTTTTTGAAAAAAAAAAAAACTAAAATCAAACTCCATTGAATATATCCTCTCTAAAACATGAAATCAATCAATCAAAGTATTATCTAGAGCATACTGTAATCAGGTCGAACAGATAAATCAAAGGAAGAAACTATCGGGCGCTGCTGAATTCAGACAATGAGGCTTGAGGAAGAGGAGGCCGACGCTGCTCCTCCGACGACGCTGCTCCGACGCCGCTCGCTGTCAATCGATTGAGAGAGAGAGAGGGGGGTAAGAAGAGATTAGGGGAAAACCTTCGGTGACAAAACTTACTTTTTCCTCACCTAAAAAGAAGTATTTGTTGACGAAAATAAATTTCATCACCTATTATTTTTATTTTTTTATTATACGTGACAAAATTTTATAATTCATCACGAATTATTCTTATTTAGTGACAAAATTTATTTTCTTCACTACTTTTCGTCACCATAAGTTACTTTTGTTGTAGTGAATCTTTTTTTTTTGGGGGTCACAAATAAAATTTAAATAATAAAATAATACCGTTTAACTCTTCTTTTTTTTTTTTGTGACGCGGGTTGCTGTCGTTAAAAAAATTTATTTTTTGTTAAAATAAATTTTTTTTGTAGTTAATGAAAAAAATTTCATTTTTTTTTAGTTACTAAGATTGAAAATTTATTTGTTTCATTTTTATTTTAATTAAAAAAAATATTATTATTATTTTTTATTTGGTAGAAGTAGGGGTAATATTTTAATGAAAAATATTTTCCACTAAAATAAAAGTTTATTTTCTGTGGTCAATGAAAAATATTTTTCTACGGCCTATTTTTTTTGGTTAGTAAAAATCATGAACTAATTTTTTGTGGTAGAGGAAAGGTAGCGACATTAGTGGTGGAGGTGGTGGATAAGAGATGGTGGTGGTGGTGGTGGTGGTGGTGATGGCGAAAGAGATTAGTGGTGAAGTTGTGGTAGTGGTAGTGTAAATGGAGTGGCAGGGGTGAAGGAGAGGTAATGGTAGTAGTAGTGGCAGTAGTGGTAGTGGTGGTAGTGGAGTGGTGGTGATGGTAGTAGTAATGGTAGTTGTAGAGGTGAAGTGGCGACAGTGGAAGTAGTGGTGGTGGTGGAATGATGTTTGCAGTAGTGGTAAAGGTGGTAGAAGAGATGGGTGGTGAGAGAGAGAAATGAGTGAGAGACAGATAGAGGAGAGAGACAGAGTGATGAGTGAAAGAGAGACAAAGTAGTCGCTAAAAGTGCATTTTCTTGTAGTGGATCGATAAATCGAGAGGGAGCTCAGTAAATAGAGAAGACGAGAGTGAGAGAGTGAGCAACGCAAACACAGTAGGAGAGAGAGAAAGAGAGAGAAAGAGAGAGAGAGAGAGTAAGAGGCAGTAAATAGACATAAAGAGAAGAGAGATGGACGAGAGAGACAAAGAGAGATAGAGAGAAGAGAGATGAGCAAGAGAGACATAAAGAGAAGAGAGATTAACAAGAGAGGTAGAGAGAAAGATAGAGAGAAAAGAGATGAGCGAGAGAGATAAAGAGAAGAGATATGAGCGAAAGAGACAGAGAAAGAAAATAAATGAGAAAAGCGATGAGAGAAGAGATAGATGAATGAGAGACACAGAGAGAGAGAGACAGAAAGACAGACAGACAGAGAGAGAAGCGTGATGAGTGAGAGAGAGAAAGAGAAAAGAGAAATGAAGATGAAAAAATGGATGAAAAGATATAGACAAAGAGAGAGAAAGAGAGAGAGAGAGAGAGAGAGAGAGAGCGAAAAGAGATAAACGAGAGAGAGACAGAGAGAGATGAGCGAGAGAGCGAGAGAGATAAAGAGAAGAAAGATGGACGAGAGAGACAGACAGACAGAGAAGAGTGATGAGTGATGAGTGAGAGAGAGAAAGAGAAGAGAGACAGAGACAGAGACATAGAGAGAAAGAAAGAGACAGACAGACAAAGAAGAGTGATGAGTGAGAGAGAGAGAGAGATAAGAGAGACATAGACACATAGAGAAAGAGAGAGACAAACAGACAGAGAAGAGTTATGAGGGAGAAAGAGAAAGAGAAGAGAGACAGAGGCTGAGACTGAGAGATAGAAAGATGAAAAAATGGGTAAAAAAAGAAATGTTCAAAAGAGTAAGACGACGTCGTTTTTATTTTTTTATTTTTTTTTGTAACAGAAAAATACCGTTGCATTTATTTAAATCATTTTATGACTATATATATGAAGGCGTCTCAAAGCCACGATATATATATATATATATTTTGCAACAGTACGTATTACAATCGCAAAAAACTCTTCCTTTTTTTTTTTTCTGTGACTGCAGCTGGTACTGTCGCAAATACTCTATTTTTTGCAACGGCAAGTTGTGCCGTCTCAAAAAGTCACATTTTTTGAGACGGGAAGTTGTACCGTATCAAAAAGCCACATTTTTTGAGACGGGAAGTTGTGCCGTCTCAAAAAGCCACATTTTTTGGCGACGGCAAGTTGTGCCGTCTCAAAAAGTCACATTTTTTGAGACGGGAAATTGTGCCGTCTCCAAAAGTCACATTTTTTGTGACGGCAAGTTGTGTCGTCTCCAAAAGTCACATTTTTTGAGACGGGAAGTTGTGCCGTCTCCAAAAGTCACATTGTTTGCGACGGCAAGTTGTGCCGTCTCAAAAAGTCACATTTTTTGAGACGGTAAGTTGTACCGTCACAAAAAGTCATTTTTTGCGACGGCAAATGTACCGTCGCAAAAAGTTCTGTCTCATAAGCCCACTTTTCTTGTAGTGACACATTAAAAACTATTTTGTAATGGTGTAGCAAAATGACTTGCCAAAAAAATGGTAAAACTAAATATTAGTACAAATTTAGTTTAAAATTTGACAAAGTCATTTTTGGATCAGTAACGCAACTAAATCATGATCACAAAAGATTTGTTTAGTAGATCCACTAACCAAAAATCGATATGACAATTGTTTGTATTAAAATAGCAAGGTATGGGAAATAAATGACCATTTTTTTTTTTTAACTGTAACACTAAAAATAACTCAAGCAAACCATTTTGACTTTTACTATTAAAGTTGCTTTTATACACAAACATACCAAGCACTCACAAAGCTTTCTGAGCCCTACCCCAACTTGACAGGAGTCTGCCAAAGACTTCTGAGTGTGCTAGTATATTTTTGTGTTTATCTTCTGTCCGAATCGTACTCAAAGAATGGCCACGATTGACTATACTCTTTGTGGGTTCTACATGAATTTAATCATAACCGTATGTGCAAGTTAGGTCCGACAGCCCGGGTCTCGGAGTAAACAAAAATACTTTTAGGGTGCGTTTGTTTGGACGGATTAGATAAGGGGGGATTATAATCCATCGGACTATTAGTCCCGGGATACATTGTGTTGGGACTATTTAGTTGGACTAAATTTGTATCCTATGTTTATTTAGTCATGGGATTAGAGGTCTGAATTGGACTATTTTATTGAATCACATATCTTTTTGAGATATTATGGAGAAGGATAAATGTTTAAAAGACTATTTTATCCTTGTAATTTATAATTTTTATTTAATATATAATTTTAAATTTTAAATTTGTAATCTATAATTTATAATTTAACAACACTAAAAAAATTTAATTTATAAGGCCATAATTTTTAATTTATTATTTTTAATTAAATTTAATTTATAATTTATAATTTAAATTTTTTATTTAATATATAATTTTAAATTAACAACACTAAAAAAAAAATTATAAATGTTCAAAAGACTATTTTACCCTTTTTCTAATTGTTTACTAAGTAATAGCATGGAGGGTAAAATGTGCATTTCACAAAATAATTCCATGGGATACCAATCCCATAGTTTCTATCCCACCCCCTTCATAGGATAGGATAGTCTCATATTTGTGAGACTAATAGTTCGGGGAGACTATTATTCCGGAACAAAATTTTTCAAACAAACAATGGACTATTAATCCGGTGGGACTATTAGTCCAATCCCACACCCTTATCTCTCAAAACAAACATGCTCTTATATCCAATTAATTTAAGTATATGAGTCATTGAGATGTGGGGCCTCTCTTGATGTATTACGTTTTTTTTATCAATAAAGTTATTTTTTTTTTGTTGATTGAAAAAAAAAAAAAAGCTGCTATTGGTTTGGTACCAAGTAATTGCAATCATGGTAAAATATAAATAAAATCAACTAAATTTTTAAAGTTTGTGTCGACATATATGACGTGAGAATCAAAACACAAAATCATTGATCAACAACATAATATATGCAACCTTTCTTTTTCAGTTTTTACTTTTTAATATAGTCTTGCAATCATTATTTCAATTAAGATGGAAAACTGGGTTTTGCAGGTTACGAACGTGGTGACAGCATTGCCTGAAAATAAAACAATAGAGGTGAGCAAGACCCAAGAGACTCAGCCAGAGGAAACCGTGGTTACACCAGTAGCCCCAGTCCGGGAGGCAGAGCCAGTGGCTGCTGAAGAAGAACCAAAGGCGGAGGCTGCAGCAGCAACAGAAGAAGTACCAGTAGCAGTACCGGCGGAGGTTGAAGTCGAGAGCATGGAAGTTGTTGAGGAACCTAAAGTTGCTGCTGAAGAGCCAGTAGTGGTGGTTGAGGAGGAGAAACCAGCAGAAGAAGTGGTTCCAGAGGTGAAGCAAGAAGAGGCTTTCGTTGTTACTGCCTTTGTTCCTGCTGTGTGGCTGATCTAATCAAGGATCTGGTGCAATGTTTGATGCTGGAGTTAAGACTTGATCTGCTGTATGCTGCTGAAGTCTGTTGCTGTATGCTTCTGGTGTTTGCTGTCTTAGTGTGTATTTATTTATTTATTTATTTTTATCGGCAAAAAGAAGACTTTATTGATGAAATAAATGAAAAATTACATCAATAAAGACTAGAACAAGCTCCAACCTTTTAGTTGTTGAGAAACCAACGAGCAAGCAAACAGAGCAAAAAAGAACCAGAAAAACCAGAAAGATTAGGCACTACAGCACCAAAACAGATCAAGCACTACAACACTCCTTTAAGCACCAAAACAAATGAGGCCCTACAACAGCCCGTCCAAGCACCAAAGCAGAACAACAGCCTTTCCAAGCACGAAAATAGAACAGGTAGAGAAGATTAACCTTGAACTATACTGCCATGAATTTAAACAACCCAACAATCATACTAAACACATTTCCTTGAACTACAACAGCCCTTCATCCAATCCAAGCACCAAGATTGTTTAAACCAACACAGCAACAAAACAGATCAAATAGATCAGACACATCAGCACACAGCCATGAACAAAACTTGGTGCTTGGAGCACATCAGCAAAACAGAAAAGGCACTACAGATCAACACATCAGAACAGAACACCCTCTAAATCAGATGCACCAGAACAGAACAACAACCAAAAACAACAGTGCACAGGTTAACACCCTCAGTGCATGATGTAGAATTTCACATTTTGCAAATTAAACACCAAATCATCAACCGAATAACAAAAGGTAGGACTATAGGCTCCGAACCACAATGCAATCCATGTTTTGATAAGATCACACAACTTTTCGAAATCCAACTGTGACTCGTTAAAAATGATTTCATTCCTCTGCTTCCATAAAGACCAAAGCACTGCCAGTGGGATTATCATCTAGATTACCTTCAATATGTTATTACATCTAAACCCAGTCCACCATTGAATAAGACCCACCACTGACCCCAGCTGCACCCAAGATACACCCCACCATCCAATAATATTAGACCAAACTCTCCAACTAAACGTACAACACAGCAGCACGAGATACAGTTTCCCTTTCATTCCTGCAAAATACACAGTTAACATCAGAGTTGACACTTAGGACTCCAATTCTTTGCAAATAAGTAGAAGTATTGATCCTCCCTTTCCACACTAGCCAGACAACAAATTGCACTTTCGAAGGTGCAGCATTCTTCCAGATGAGATCCACCACTTTTGCAGGCATAGTAGATGGTAACCCACTCCACTTGTAGGCAGACGAAATAGTAAAGGTACCAGACTTGTCTGCAGCACAATACAACCCATCTAACACACCATTCCTGAGCTCTGGAGCAATTTGTAGCAACTCCTTCATCCTCCTCAACTCTTCAAGTTCCCATTGAAACAATGCTCTTCTGAAAACCAAATCTCACTCCTCATTTCCATTGCTCCTGCTCTTAGCCACTGCCACTGATATACCTTTATGCATAGACACAGAGAATAATCTAGGAAATAAATTCTGTAAACAGTCACTACCAACCCACAGATCCAGCCAAAAACTCATGTGCCTCCCATCCCCAATATTAATCTTTGTGTTGGCCTTAAATAACTCCAGCAACTCTGGGCACTTAATGGCAACCCTCAAAATGTCCCTCCACACCGTAGAATATCTGGAATTAACATCTTGATCTGGCCACCTAGACCCACCATGCTGTGGGTACTTGCTAAGAATTACTTGCTTCCAAATAGAGTCAGATTCACTCCCAAACCTCCACCACCATTTGAGAAGAAGACATTCATTCATGATTCTCACCTTTCTAATACCAAGACCCCTGTTACTTTTGCTTTGAGTGATTTCCTCCCACTTTACCATGTGGATTTTCCTTCTAAGATCATTACCCCCCCCCCCAAAAGAAATCTGGACTGAATTCTATCAATCACTTTGGCTACCCCTTCAGACATTCTAAACAAAGATAAGTAGAACACTGGTAGTGAAGATAGCACAGACTTGATCATTGTCAACCGACCAGCGAAGGAAAGAAGCCTACGCTTCCATGATGCAAGTTTTGATTTGAAATTATCAATGACAGGTTGCCAAGACCTTCTCCTCCTTGGATTAGCCCCCAATGGCATCCCCAAATACTTTGAAGGTAGCCTATGATGCAAGCAGTTTAGTATGGCAGCAAAATCTTTGGTAAGTTCATCATTAATTCCAACACCACACACTACACTCTTGTGATAGTTTATCTTCAACCCAGACAAGATTTCAAAACATCTCAATATTCTTTTGATATTAAGCACCTCCTCCCTTTTTGCCTCACAAAACAAGATTGTGTCATCAGCAAATTGTAGGTGAGTAATAGTAAGATCATTTGAACTAACTGATGCACCCTTGATCAATCCAGCTTGGACAGCTTTATGTTTCAGAATATTAAGACCCTCAGCTACAATGTTAAAGAGAAAAGGGGATAAGGGATCACCTTGTCTAAGTCCCCTTCGAAGACTAAACTCAGCTGTAGGTGATCCATTCACCAGAATAGAGATTTTGGCAGTTGAGACACATTCCTTCATCCATTTGATCCATTTTGAACCAAATCCAAAGTTTGATAACATGGAGAAGAGGAACTCCCAATTTATTGAATCATATGCTTTCTCGAAATCAAGCTTTAAAATAAGACCTTTCTTATGCTTCTTCTTCCAATCATCAACAATCTCATTAGCAACCAGGATACCATCAAGAATACTTCTACTCCCTATAAAAGCTGATTGAGACTCACTAATGATCTTAGGTAAAACAACTTTGAGTCTACTGGATAAAACTTTGGAAAGCACTTTGCACAATAATCCAATAAGACTGATAGGCCTAAAATCATTGAGAGAAGAATGATTTTCATTCTTTGGAAGCAAGGCTACAAAGGAGCTATTAATACCGAGGACTAACTTTGAGTTGGTATGGAACTCACTCATGAATTGCATCATATCTCCTTTAATTATTTCCCAACACTTCTGGAGCATCATAATGTTAAAACCATCAGGGCCAGGGGCCTTGTTCCCATCATAATTCTTAAGAGTTGCCACAACTTCAGATTCTGTGAACTCAGCAACCAAAGCAACACGCACCTCTTCATCCCCAATAGACTTAAACAGACCATATAAACTTGGCCTATTAAACCATGATTCTGAAAACTGCCTCTGAAAGTGATTGAACACTTCGGTTCTTATTAGGATCTTCAGTCAAGGCCCCATTAATCTCAATTGAGCACAGTGCATTCCTATTCCGTCTCGTGGAGGCCATGACATGGAAAAATTTGGTATTTCTATCTCCTTTTAATGACCAGTTAGCTCTAGACTTTTGCAACCATAACCATTCAACCATTTTACTCAAGTTCCATGCTTCACCTTTTAACTCCCTAAGTGTAGATCTCTCTACATCAGCGAGTAATCTTTGTTCAGCTACCAAATCTAAGACATGTATCTCCTCCTCCAGTTTCTTGAGTTTAAAGTCCACCTTGCCAAACACCTCAAGGTTCCATTTTTTCAATGCTTCTTTAAGTAATCTCAGTTTCCTTAAACATTTGAATCCAGCCCAACCATTTACATGAGATTCAGCCCAAATTTTCTGCACAAAAATCTTAAAATTCAGATGAAGACACCAGGCATTTAGAAACCTAATTGTTTTTGGACCCCAATCTCTTTCATCTTCCATCATTAAAATAGGACAATGCTCCGAGAGCCTTCTTGGTAATCCCCACAATTTGAAGTTAAATTTTTGCAACCAATTTGGGCTGAGTAAAAATCTGTCCAGCCTACTCCATTTAGCACCATTCTGAGAGTTACACCAAGTGAACTTTCTCCCAAACATTGGTAAGTCACACACTTCCAGGTTATCGATTAGCTCGTTAAAATCCTTCACACCACCACATCTTTGGGAACAACCCACCCTCTCAGATAATTTCCTAACCTCATTAAAATCACCCCAAGCACCAAGGGTTGATAAAACTTCTCTTTAAATTCTTCAAAGTTTCCCATAATCCCTTCCTATTAGCACCATCAGTCGGGCCATAAACATTCACAATAACACAATCTAGACTTGTAAAAAGAGTGCCAGACAAAATGATAAAATACCTGTTACAGCAGTAGTCCAGAAGTTGAAACACTTATGGATTCCAGACACACAGTAGTCCACCAGCTGCACCCTGTGTGTCCACAGCCATATAAGCCATTTGGTCCCCAGGCCAACAAGATCTGACAAATTCCTCAGTTATAGCAGGTCTCTTTGTTTCCTGAAACAGTGCCACATCCACCTTCCTTTCAAATAGAAGTTTTTTAATTTTTCTCCTTTTAATGGACTTGCCTAACCCTCTAACGTTCCAAGATAAGAGCTTTACTAAAACAAATTTACACACCAAAAACTCCACAGTAGATACAGATTATTCTACCTTGCTGCCCCTTTTACCCAGCACCTCCTTATCCTTAACTTCCAGTTCCATCAATTTACTAAGTATTTCCTCATCCGTACCTTTACATTTCAGCCCAAGCAACTTCCCTATCTTCAGAGACGCTTCTGCCTCATTACGGAGCAACTGACCAGAACTCGATTTGCTTGCCATGGACAAAGAAATAGCTGCAACTGCCGACTTGAATATAGCCCCTTTCTTGAAGTTCATCACTGATCCAACCCCTATTTGTATTTTTCCTTTTTTCTTCCTCTGATATTTCACCATCCCTTTACCTTTCTCTTTTGTGGTATTTTTCCTTTTTTGATCTACCACTGCCGTGTAACATGTTGCTACTCTGTGGGGCTCCTTATCCACACTGTCATGGGTTACCTTTCCCTTACTTGTTTGGACTTCATCCTCCTCTGTTGGCTAATCCTTTGGATCACTTAACTCAGAAGATCTATGGCCTAGAATGTTACCACACTGTAAGACATGGACCTTACTTAATAACACCTCTATATTAAGCCCAGGTACATCTTTTTCTAGCCCACTA